CTGGCGTTCCCCACTTTGTGGCACACTATGGGGGATACACCACACCTCCATTCCCATCTCTAGAATATACCCCCTCCCCTACTCCCTGCATATCTGCAAGGCTGGCGTCTGCCCAGAGTCCGCCCAGGGAACCTTACTGCTCACCCCGCAGGACCCCAGGAGGGCAGAGACTTCAGCAACCTAGGTGCCCCATCCAGGTCAATACCCACATCTGAGCCCTGAATATCTCTCCTTCATTTTTCAAGTTTCAGCTCCAAGAGTCACCTCTGCAGGGAAGTCTGAGTCATTTTCCTGCTTTATACTCCCAAAGTCCCCTACACATATTCCCCCTTGCAGCACTGATCAAAATTTTAATGAAATTTAACGCGGCTGATTCACTGCTTGTTCCTAGAGGGGCAGGAATCATGTTGACCTTGGTTGCTCCTACATCTCCTGTCACCGCCCTGGGTCTGGTACGTCATTTGTGCTTGGCTCACCCCCTCATGCACCGGGTCAGACCCTCTGGCCACCACCAGCCTCATACAGGCACAACTGACAGCATTTCACCTCCTGTCTACCTGGGCACTTCTTGCACACAGACACCCCCTGCCCCCACAACTTTCTGTCGATGCTCCTGCAGGGTCCTGACTGGTTCCCATGTCTGCCCTGCCAAACCCAGAAATGCATGGAAGTCAGGAGCCAGTGGATACACCTATTCCTCTTCTCCCTTCACCCCAAGAGATGGCTCTGAAACACACTTTGTCAGGCTTTTCTGGGGTGCCAACTTGGGTTGGTCGCTCAGTGGTGACCAGCTCAATATGACATCCTTGTATTGGCCTTCCCTCCCCTCTGCTCCACTGCCTTGCCCTGACTCTCCCCAGCATCATACCCTCCAACTCAGTCAGCAGTGGCATCTATGCCTCCTCCTCAGGCCCCGCCCTCCAGGAGCCCAGGCCCCGCCCCAGGAGCCCAGGCCCCACCCTCCAGGAGCCCAGGCCCCGCCCCAGGAGCCCAGGCCCCGCCCCCAGGAGCCCAGGCTGAAACAGGGCTCCACAAAGCTTTGCAGAAAGAATGAAGGAACAATTCTCAGCAGGAGGGTTGGCTTGTTCCCGTTGCTCCCTCTGACCTCAGCTTCTCTTCAACAGCCCCCTCGCCCCTGCAGCTCTATTGCTGCCTTGCTCCTTGTCCTCTCTCACACCTGCTTCTCTAGACCCCTACCTCCTGCCAGGCTCTTTCCACATCTTTCCAGGCTGGTCCAAACCCATTTTTGTCCAGCCCCTTCCATGAACCAGGGAAACTGCCTTACATGTTAAAGTGAGATGTAACAATTTCAAGATAAAAGAATGAACAGCTTCCTGTGGCCAGAGGGCATTCAGGCCTCCCCTTGAGGCCAGGCTCCTGTTCCCTCTCCTTCCCCTACTGTTCAAGGGCCTGGGAGAGCAGCCAGGACAGGACTCCTTGGTCTCTGAGAGCAAAGCTTGGGGAGGCCAGGCTGGGGTGTTCACAGAAGCCATGCTAGGGCTGACCTATACCCCTAGGAGATGGCACTCGTGCTAACCCATGGATGCAGTTCCATCCTCACCTGCCTCCACCTCCCCACCTGCTGCTTCAGACCCTGTGTCCACACCTTCCCAGCAACCTCTTTCCTCCTTTGGCTCCATCACCCACTCTTCCTGGCTCTCCTCCCTCCACTCTGACCTTGCAGGAGCGGGCATCATGTGGAGGCCTCCTTTTCATCCCATTCTCACACCATTGAGGGTCCTGACCCCAGTCCTCCTCTCTTTTCTCTCCATCAATCCCCACTGTAAGTGTCCAGCCACAAGGGCAGTCACCTCTAGGAACCGCAATCCCACCATGATGTCAGAATCTCTCCTGGATCCTCTGCTTTCCCAGGAAGCTCTGTCTCTGGGGATGATGCCACCCTCTCCCCAGCCATCCAAGCTAGAATTTCACACCATGTCCTTGATTCCTCCCTGCCCTTCTCCTCCTTCATCCAGTCAACTGCCAACCTCATCGATTCTACCTTCATGGCTCCATCAACTTCTCTCCTTTCTGACCACAATCCTTGGGGGCCACCATGCTCTCCTTCACCCAGGTCCCAGGGGTGGCCTCCAGACTGGCTCCAGTTTAACCTGGCAGCACCAATCCCAATTTGATGTCACCCCCTTGCTCTACATCTTTCAGCTGTGCCTTGTAGCTCTCGGGATTAAAACAAAATTCCTCAAGTTAGCACCCAAGGTCCTTCAAGGCTCATCTCTTGCCCTCTTTTCCAGCAGCAGCCTCTCCTCTTGGTTCCAGACTTTCCACACTTAGAGCTCTGTCTCCATACTCCCCAGCAAGATCCCAGGCACCTGGTGCTAGAACAGAAGCTCTGGACGGCAGGTTTCGGGAAAGGTCTCCAGTGCAGTTAAGTGGGTGATGTGTCATGTGTGCCTCAATTCCCTGTGACTCTGATCAATGTGAGTCAGTTCCCTGAGTCTCCTTTTTAGATTCAGAGGGGCAAGATCCAGATGCCGGGGCACTGTGGCCCACCAGGGTGACCATGGCTGAGGGGCGGGCTCCCTCACTGTCATCATGGCCTCTCACATACATAGTTTAGACAGGACATGTACATACTTTAGACAGGAGGAAATGGTGAGGAGTAAGACTGTCCTGTGCACTGAGCAATTACTGAGCGCCAGGCACTTGGCTAAACATTCTCGCCCTGTAGCTCATTGAATCGTCCCACGAACCCCAGGCAGAAGACTTATTTTATTATTCCCACTTCCTAGATGTGGAAATAGAGGCCAGAGAGGTTGAATAGCTTTCCTGCTGTCAGTTAAAATGTGCTGGACCCTGTATTTGAATCAATCTCTCTTGGATTCCAAAGATATTAAAACACATGGGAGTAATTTAAGGCATGGACTCCAGTAGGAGACTTCCAAAGGGGGTCGGGGGAGCGGGGGCGGGAGTGAGCGGCAGCAGGCAGTAGAGATAGAAATAGTGATGATCTGGGAGAGAGATGAGGAGATGTATGGAGAAATCACTGCTCTGTCCAATCATCTGTTTTGCTCCCATAGCTGGAGACAACTTGGGGGAAGGTGAGGATGTGAGCAGGAGGGGGACACACCCTTTAGATCCCTTACCTTCCCCCATAACCTTGGCTCCTTGGACGGCCCGTGGCATGGACAGAGATGAGCAGAGAGTGTCAGTGAAGGACTTCTTAAGTCCTGCTGGTCAGAGGCTCCACCCAGGGCCTCCAAATGGCCCTCAGGGGGCAGATTCTTGCAAAGGTGGGCATTCATCATTTTTACATCTGCGTTCAGATCCCTAATAAGGAAGTAATAATATTGCCAAGCCTTTGCCATGCTTTCTATGAGCTAGTGAGAAGACTAATTATCTGACGACACTAATAAATGGTTATGATGTTATTAAAAATGGCACCAAGCTAGGATTAATAGGCTCATCAATTGTAGAGAATTGGGTTTAACAAGGTCCCCGCATGTGCCGTCAGGGCCCATGGTCTTGATGGATACTGGGCTGCATGCAGGCCACGAACAAGACCCCCTTTTTCCTCCAGCTGAGGGTCAGCCTCGGAAGCTGCTGGGTTTTCTGGTCTTCCCCCTTGCAAATGGCTCTGCAGAGCTCTTGGGCTGTTGGGGATGCTGTGGATGGCAGAAGCGTTACTAGCCTTATTCCCCTCCACATGTGGCCTCCACTGTCCATGGGATCCCCCCTCCCCCCCCAGTCCAGCTCACCTCTGCAAATGATATGCTCAGATCCCACCCAGAGCCCCACACTCCAGAGCCCCACTCATAAAGCTCAGGGGGGAGCCGATAAATGGAGGTGTCTCTGGGGCCTGCTGACTAATTTCCATAATAATTACAGTTATTACTAATAATGGTGACAACACCCCTCCCTCCCAGTTAGACTGAATTCCACAGTCTAGGAGCTGCTTCCCCACCAGTAGTCACCTCCGACAACAAGCGGGGAATAACGCGGGGCAGGCATCATTATTCTCGCTGTTGAGGTAGGAAATGAGCTTAAGGAGAAAAAGAGACTTCCTGAAGCCCCTCCCCCTGCCTCAAAGGAGTAGCCATAATGATAAAAATAATACAAGCAAGGACTGAAACAGTGCTGACTGTGTCGTGTGCACATTAGTCCTCACCACCTCAGGCTGGAGGAGGGAGGGGCATTATTATCATTCCCATTTTACAGATGAGGAAACTGAGGAACAGAGAGGTTAAGAAACTTGTCCAGAAGCACACAGGTAGTAAGTGGGAGAGCAGGAATCAAGTGCAGACCAGGTTCATGCTCTTGACCATTAGCCTCTCCCCACAGCCTTCCCTGGGGGACTGATTTTCTAGGGCCAAGGAAATGACTCCACCACTGAGACTCTGCTGGAGCCTTCTTGCTCTGAGCTCCAGCCTCCTTCTCTTCCTGGCTCCCCTCTGACCCGGGCAGGAGGGCTGACCGAAGAAGGGCCTGAGGCTGCCTGTCTGCACTTGGAGAGGCAAAGTGACAATAATCCTTTTGGCTGATGCTTCTCAGGTTGCAAAGACTGACTGCATGAACCCTGGGTCCTGCGGTCAGATGGCTCTTTGCAGACATCGGAACCCAGGGCTTTCAGAAGCAGAGAGCCTCCAAAAGACTCTCTCAGTCCCAGCTCCATGTCTTACTAGCTGGGAGCCTTCATCTTTCTCTGCCTCAGCTCCTCATCTGTTAAATGGGTGGTAATAACAGTACCTATGTCATTGGGTTGTTGTAAGGATAAACGAGAGAAGAAATGTAAGGGGTACAGATCATGTCCTTGCATCATTAGCAGGCCCTGGATAGAAAAAACCTTCTGGAAAGCGAAGGCCCTGAGCTGGAGGGCAGGTAATGTTAAGAATGTGCTGGGTGAGCCTGTACCAATGGCTCCTTTGTCTCCATCTCCCCTGCCCCAGGGTTGCAGTCTGCCAGGATGCCCCATCCTGATGTGCATAGTGGACTTGGCCAAGCCTCTGGGATGGCCCTGTCCATGGTGCTCCCACCCCACTTACGTGGTCGATGAGTTCCTTGATCATGCCGTTCCACTGGCCCTTGTCGTCCTGTGCCCCGTATTTCCCATCTTCCACCAGCCGGATCTCGTAGGAGAAGCCCAGGATGTGGGCCAGTTCCTTGAGCAGGTCGATGCAGTAGCCCTCAAACCGGTCATTCCCAAACAGGGTCCTGTCGGACTTCCGGAACATGACAAAGGGCTCCTCCTGTGGGGACAGATGGGACAGGGGCTGAGGGAGGCTGAGTGGGCGGGGCAGGGCCGGCTGGGGTCAGAGAGCCTGGGCCCAGGCCTCTGCAAGGGTGTTCTAAGCCATCTTTGGGGGTGGCTTAGAAGAATGGCCCACTAAGCCAGGAGAGGGAAAGCCAAGTTAGTGCCTCACAGATGGCCACCTACTGACGAGCCTGCAGAACTCAGTAGGTCCTTATGGATTTGATTGTCCCAGTGTTCACAGAGCTAGAAGCTAGTGGAACTGGAATTTGAACTCAAGACTGTGATTCTGAATCTTACGTTCTCTCTGTGGCACCATCAACATAGGCTGACGGTTCTCAAAGTGTGGTCCCCAGACCAGCAGCATCACCTGGGAACTTGTCAGACTTGCACATTCTCAGGCCTCATCCAGAAATACTGAACCAAAAACTCTTAGGTGGGGCCTGGAAATGTGTGCTTTGAGAAGACCTCCAGAGGCTTCTGACGTCTGCTCAAGTGTGAGCACACTGCTTCAGAAGGCCTTCATCAAGTTTCTTCCCTGACTGCTCCCCCAGGAAAGTAAGTGAAAGTGTTAGTCGCTCAGTCATGTCCAACTGACTCATTGTGACCCCATGTACTGTAGCCTGCCAGGCTCCTCTATCCATGGGATTCTCCAGGCAAGAATACTGGAGGGGGTTGCCATTCCCTTCTCCAGGGGATCTTCCCCAACCAGGGATCGAACCCAGGTCTCCTGCATTGCAGGCAGATTCTTTACTGTCTGAACCACCAGGGGAAGCCTGTCCCATCTCCCCCAGCTCCTGCATAAGAAGATTAGACCTACCCGCTCCCTGATACCTTTCTCTCTTTCCAAGGATCTAGTCCCTGGCATTAGGATCTGCCGGTGATTCCTGGTAACTATGACAGTTTGCATTTACATGTGGACGGGCCAGGCACCAGGAAGTCAGCAGACGAAGTGGTGCCTGTGGAGGACCCAGTGAAGAGCCCGGCAGAGCACTGGAAGTAGCTGGTGTCACCTTGCCAGTCTTAATTTCAGCCTTCTGGGATAGACACTAATAACCCCATCCTACAGATGCAGAGAGTAAGTTGGTGAAGACAAGGAGACTTGTGAGAGGTCACCCAGCTGCCATAGAGAGCGGATCTGGACTCAGGCTGGCGTGATCCTAGAGTGGGAGCTCTTAACCACCTCCCTGTGCCAGCGGCCCTGAGTTACGTGGTGCCTCTCCCTAGTGGGCAGGGGGGTCCTCAGAAGGTGGCTTGTCTTCTACACTACACCTGCAGCCGTCCCATGTCAGGCTCCTCCCGCCCAGGTGATGGGGAGCCAGCACTGGGCTCTCAAAGGGCCCACCTCTGTCTGATTTCTCATTAGAAATAAACACTGATAACCCTGTAAAGAATAATTAGGGATGTGCTGTGCTCAGTCGCGCAGTCGCATCTGACTCTTTGCGACCCCGTGGACTATAGCCCGCCAGGCTGCTCTGTCCATGGAGATTCTTCAGGCAAGAGTGGGTTGCCATGCCCTCCTCCGGGGATCTTCCCAACCCAGCGATTGAACCCCGGTCTCCTGCATTGCAGGCGGATTCTTTACTGGCTGAGCCACCAGAGAAGCCCAAGAATACTGAAGTAGGTAGCCGATCCCTTCTCCAGGGGGACTCTCCAACCTAGGAACTGAACTTACCAGCTCAGCTACCCAGAAAGCCCAATAACTAGGAACAGAGACAGGAAAATGGTGAAAAAAGCTGTTGACCTTATCTAGCATGAGATACACAGAGTGAGGAACTGCAATGTATGGGCTGAACTCAGCAAACTAATCATTTATTGAGTTCCTACCATGTATCAGTCACTGACAAACATTTTCATAAGCTGTTTGATTGAAGCCTGTAAGACAGGTGACATTATCCCTATTTGATAGATGAGGAAACTGAGGCTCGGAGAAGGTCAGTAAGTTGCCCAAGGTCACACAGGAGTTGAACTATAGTCAGATGGAGTCCAGGTCCAGTCCTTCCTGCTTGTAGTTCCTTGGCCTTTCTGGGCCTTAACCTTCCCCTCAAGCCACCTCTGCACCCTCATGTGTCCAAACGCCTCAAGCCTTCAGCTGATGGGCGACAATTGTTAGCTGACAGAACACACTTGTTCTGGGAAGCTCATGTCCTTGGACCCATAAGAAGAGCACATACCTCATTTGGAGGTGCCTCCCTGGCGGTTCAGCTGGTGAAGAATCCGCCTGCAGTGTGGGAGACTTCAGTTTGATCCCTGGGTTGGGAAGATCCCCTGGAGGATGGCATGGCAACCCACTCCAGTATTCTTGCCTAGAGAATCCCCATGGACAGCAGAGACTGGCAGTCTACAGTCCATGGAGTTGCAAAAGAGTTGGACGCAACTTAGCGACTAAGCACATCATTCTCTCAAGTGGTGATGAGAGAATGGGGCCATTTCTTTGCCACTGTGGACTTTGGAGCTGGCTGAGCCTGAAGGGCCTTCATCAGGGGTCCTCAGGTGCAGAAACCCACCAGCAGTCTCTTGTTGGGCTCCCACTGCAGAAGGTAGTCTCATTCTCTGGCCCTGTTTCCCCAGCAACACTAGCTCTTAAAATCCCATCCCACCCCATGACTGATTCACTCTAGAGTTTCAACAGTCCCTTGGGATGCTGCAGAGAAAGGGCAAGGGAGTGTCTGTACCCCTAAGGGGTCCTGAGAAAACCACTTTGCAGTCTCATTGGGTGGAAATCGGGTCCTTTGACTAGACTCCGTGCTAAGTCTCAGTGCCCCCCATCCCCATCTCCAACCTAGTAGGCAACTCACAAGGTTGGAGAAAAGAGTCCTAGGAGGTGCTGGGAAGGGGCTGGGACTGCCTGGAGAGAAGGGGACTTAGGCTAGCGTGGATGCTGCTGTCTGGAACCCCAGCACAGGGCCTGGTGAGAGGGCCAGGGTGGAGATTTCAATCCTGTCTCAACTGTAGGTCAGATGCTCTTGTGCAGTGAAAATCTACACCACCGCGCTAGGTGGCCCTGCTGTTAGCTCAGGAACGAATTAAAGAGAAGGTAACTTCTTTGCCAGGAGAATCACCAACCACACATAGATTTCTAAGTGAAATCGACCTCCTTCTGTAAAATGGGAGTAATAATAGAACCTACCTTACAGAATTGTTGGGAGGATTACATGGGTCAATCTGCGTAAAGCACTTAGTGTCTGGCAAATATAAACTGCAATATTATTATTATGAATATCATAATTGTCTTTCTGTGCACTGCATGGACTGTTACTGCAGTGACCTTTCCAGTCTAGAGACCATGCCCAAAGCCACCAAAGGTTAAAAATCATAGCTAGCAGCGGAAAACTATTTCAGGAAAGGTCCCTGAGATGGCTCACTTCCTGACCCTATCTCCCAGCCCCTCCCTGGCCCTATCCTCTAAAATTAGCACTTCATTTGTGAAGCCACCAAGCCCCAGAATCTATACATCTCCATATAAATACGCTGCCTTCGGAGCAGCTGTAAAATGCCATTAATTTCGGGAAGTGCTTTGCGGATGGCATACATATTTAACAGCCAAAGCCCAGAGCATTAAAATGGTGCTCGCCTTAGTAATGTCTCTAGACCTGCAACATTTCCTAGGGGGTAATTCTGAACTCCGCCAACTACTTATTCATGGACTATTTCACAATTTATTACTGGAAATGTCCAGACAGCCAATTCACAAGCTCTCTCGGCTGCTAATCGATTGCTCAGTGAAGGTGCCCTCAATTTCATAACTTCACGCTCTCCTATTGCTCTGGGAGAACAGCCGTAAGAACAGGGGTAATATTTCTCTGCAACAAGTCACAGGAAACAAGGGTCCTGAAAAATAACCTTTTCTGACTTTTCATCGCTAGGGCTCTTGGCTTCTTAGTCGAGCTTCACCAACATGAAAGCCAGGCCTGGTGCTAAGATTCTCCCAGTGATGGGACCTGTGGAGTTGGAAGAGGGGGTCTTGGGGGGTGGGGAGCCAAGGGTTAGCTACCTAAGAGCTGCGTTCCCAAGTCCTCCTGGCTTAGGCCATCTCAACACACATCTGCACGCACATGCACTCTGTATACACACAACGCCAGGGGCATGAAGACACCACGTTCTCGGATGTTCTGCCCTGCTTAGAGACAGAGGTCAAGGACCCTGGCCCTCAGGCCTTGGCTTCTGGCAGTTAGAACCAGGGCAGAGCGTTAGGAGTCCGGCCCTCCCAGCAGGTAGGACCCAGAAAGGTCCCCGGCCTGGCCCGGCCCGGAATGGTTCTCTCAGCCCATATTCTGGGCCTCCGTAGCCTCCCCTCTCCTGTACCGGGTGTATAGGTCTGGCCTGCCTGGCAGTTGAGTCTAAACGGGTCACAGTGCACGCACGGTGCACACACACCCATCGGTTTGTATCCAGACACCCCTATGCATAGCCAAGCCCGCACCCGCACAGGTATCCACACGCATACCGACACGGCTGCTCACTTCAGTGGCCCCAAGGACCCTGAACCTTCCAGAACAGGGCCCCCAGGAGACAGCTGAGTGTGTTTTCTCAGTGTGTGAGCTGAGGTTTGGGCAGATGAATTTTTCATGAGCTCATGGAAGAGGGAAACCTGAGCAGAAGCTGGGGCCTGGCAAGGAGTGGGCGGGGAGGGCAGGCTTCCAGCCTCTTGCTGCTGTTGCTTCAGCCCCAAGAAGGGGGAAGAGCCTGTGGCTCTGATGAGCCAGAGAGGGCGGGGTCCAGGCTCTGTCCATCTGTGTTTCCAGGGTAATGAGCTCTTAGCACCTAACCCCGGGATTCAGGATGCGAGAGAAAAGATGGAGCTTGGGGGCAGCCCCTACACCTCCCTGTGTTTTTTGCCACATCCAGATTTTAGAGACCAGAAGAGGAGGAGAGACCCCCTCAGCGTGGGCGCAGGTCCAGCCCTGTTCTCTGGGGCAAAGCTGGTGGATGCTCCTTTACTCAGGCTTGGTACCAGCCTGTCACTCAAAGCACCGTTGCCCTGACAACACACTTCCAGAGAGGCAGGGGCCAGTGCTCTCCTCGGGAGGTGCTGGCCCTGCTTTGAGGCTGCCAAGCATGGGGTTGGGGTTTTTCCCAGAGAAGCTGGGCTGGGCCAGGCTGGGCCACTCCACACAACTGGTGGTGTTGTCCTCCAAGGCCCAGGCTGAGAGCATCACACCCCCACCCACCCCACCCCGGGCTCTGGGACACGCAGACCACGCTGAGACTTTCAGGGGACTCTGAGGACATTTTCAGCTGGACACAGAGAGTTTCTTGGAGACCAGTGTAAAGGCTGTGTGTCACATCCTCTGTCTCCATCCTGTCTCCAGGTAAGACTGGGCTTCTCTCAGGGAAGAAGCAGACCCAATTCCCCATGATCTCTGGGCAGTGGGGCTGGAGAGAGCTGGACCATGGCTCACTACCAGGCCCTGTGAATATCTGACACTGCATAATGTGGTTAAGATGGTGGGATATCTGCTTCAAGTGGGTGAGCAGCCATGTCTGGGGTCAAGGCAAAGGAGTTTGGGGAAGGGGATTATCACGTCAGTGCCAGGAGCTCAGACCTCCGCTGGGGCAGGGGATGAGGTGGTGGTTGGGATGCGAAGTTTTATGTATCAGCAGGAGATGAGAGCCAAGAGAGTGGCTCACACCCTAGTGCTTTCAGGGACCAGTCAGGAATTGCCTGTATAAGAAGCAGCCAAGAGTAAGCAAGAGGGAGTGGTGGGGTCTGCAGTGAGCCCGGCCGGAAAGGCATTCAAACCCTAGCTCAACGTGCATGATGCATCCTGTGCTAGACAGAGATAACCTCTGTGACCACAGTCAGGGGCCAATCTTCAGTGATGTTCAGGGCCCTGCTTGTGGACGGAAGCAGAGGTTTTCTCTAGAACACTCACCATGCTTATTGTATTAAACCTGAGCTTACTGGGGACTGGATCTGTAATCAATAATACCAATAGCAGCCATTACTTGACAGCATCCAGTCTGTACCATTTATTTTTATTTATTTTTTTTAAGATATTTTTTGATGTGGACTGTTTTTTAAAGTCTTCATTGAATTTTGTTATACTATTCTCTTTTATGTTCGGTTTTTTGGCCACGAGTCATGTGGATATTAGCTCCCTGATCAGGGATCGAACCCACATCTTCTGCACTGGAAGGTGAAGTCTTAACCACTGGACTGTATAGTCCATGGAATTCTCCAGGCCAGCATACTGGAGTGGGTTGCCTTATTCCTTCTCCAGGGGATCTTCCCAACCGGAATCGAACCGGGATCTCCTGCACTGCAGGCGGATTCTTTACCAACTGAGCTATCAGGGAAGCTTCTAGTATTGGCTAAAAAGCTGTTAGAAGAGCACAGAAGGTCTGCGGGATTCTGCCCCTGTGGGTGTATATAAATGCCCTGCGGCTCTGCGGAAGAAGGGTCTTATGCCCTTTAAACCAGGCTCCTTCCACTTTAATAAAATTTAACCTGTGGTCTTTGAAGGGTGTGTATTTTGCATCCTTCTGCTGTATTATCTTTAGCTCTCCTGTTACGTGAGAGTATTGTTTGGTGGCTGAATCATCTCTGTTCATTTAATCATCTCTCCTAATCTCTCCGAGCATACCAGTTCTACCTTTTTTTAATCTTGTCTTCTGAAAAGTGTTTTATTTATATCTCCCATTTTATGCAGCTCCACTTTTAATCTTTTACCACCTTTTTATTATTTTATTTTTACCCTTTTATATTTTAGCTTTGTCACACTTTTATCCTTTTGCTTTCTGACATTTCGGTTTTACATTTTTCACCTTCTCTAGCTGGAGCTGTTAATTATTTATTTTAATTTTTCCTCTCTCTGGGTAGCTTTCCTTTTAATCTCACCCCTTATTTTCATTTCTCTCTTTATTACCTTCCTTTTAACCTTTATTTTGTCCTCCTTCAACTCTCTTTTTATCCTTTCTATTTTTATCCACATCAATATTCCTTTAATTGCTCATCACTCTTCCTTCTATCCCTTTTGCTCCTTTTATTTATGTCTTTTTATTTTTAATCTTTTTTACTTTATTCTTTTTTATTTATTATATAACTTATAAGTGTACAATATGATGATTCATAATTTTTAAAGGTTATACCCGATTTATAGTTATTATAAAATATTGGCTATATTCCCTGTGCTATCCAATATATCTTTATAGCTTATTTTATTTTTAGTCTTTAATTTATTTTTTATACTTTTTCCCCTGTTCCTGATGAGATCTTTTGACTCACTGGTTTTATAGTTTGATATTTGTATTCTATTTAGTTAACAAAAGTCAATCAGTAAGGCAGGCAGGATGTATGGTTTTGGGGAAAATACCGGTGGGGGTCTCACTCCCAAAAGGTGGGGGTGGGGAGGTGTCTCCCCAGGCTTCTGCTGGTCCCATCAGCAACATGTTCAGAACTCTTGGGAGAATGAAATGTGACATCCCTTCTTCCTCCATGGTGTCCAGCACCCAGTCACTGAGCAAATACCTAGCACTAGAGAGAGGACACAGGGCCTGGCTGAGCTGCTGCTGGGGGGAGGCAGGCAGGACAAGCCTTGTTTGAGTGCCATGGAAGGCCCGGAGTGGGGTTCCCAGCTCTGCTCCCAGGTTCCATCCTGTGACAGCCTTACTCTGTCTAAGTGCTCCAAACTGGGTTGGGCTCCCCTTTTTTTTTGGTTGAGAATATCCTCAGCCCGTGGTCCTGACAAACAGATTTGCTTCATTACAAGGAGAAGCTGGGGCCAGATTGTCCTCAAAGGTTCTTTGGTCAGAATCCACTGGGCTGTGACCGGGCTGCCCCCTGGTCCAGCTTGGGTCCCAAGCGCAGTGCTGCGCCTCTGAGAGTGTGGGTCCTGAGCCTCTGGACACCCTGGAGGCCTTCCAGGAGGGGCTGGTGCACACGGAGAGGGCACAGTGGTGGCCAAAGGAGGCCAGCTGCCTGGGTGTCCTGCTCACCCTGAGCTCTAACATGCACGGAGCTTGGGAGACCCCAGGAGCAATTCCTTGGGTTTAAATGGTCAGAAGAAGGACACGCTATTTAGTGCTGGGCAGTGGAGGGAGGAGGGCAGGGAGAATGGCCATGGCCAGGAGCACCTGGGTCAGGACACTGTGGGGGTGGCACCTGTGAGGACCCACTGCACCCACTGGGCTCTCTGGGTGTGACCACTGCTGGGAAGGGCCTTTTCCTGGGAACTGGGGTGGAAGAAGCAGACTCAGGTCCTGGTGCAGAGAGCAGGTCACCCCTCCTTCCTTCCACCCGGCACAGTTCCCACACAGGCATCAGGGGCTCAGGGAGTGGGTGGGGATGGGATACAAACACACAGTTCTCTGGAGCAGGGGCTGGCCAAGCAGGTCCAGGCAGGAGGGCCAGCCCGCTCTGCCTTTGGGAAGAGACAGCCCAGTTACCTCCTGGTGTTTCTGACCTGTGGCCGTGAGCAGTATTGCTATGTTTCAACTTCTCTCTGGGGGCTTTCTGAGGGACCCTCAGTGTTTCCAGCTTTCTGCAGCTCCCCTCCCTCATCTTCCAGCCTCTCAGCAGCCCCATAAGAGGCAGCTGGTCTATGCTGGGCGGGGTGATGGAGGGGTACCCCTACCCCAGTGGCCAGCCCATCTCCCAGCTCACAGGGGGCCTCCTGCAGGGCTGCAGTTCTTACCAGCACGGTGGTGACGATGAGAGACCTATTTGTCAGAGAGTCGGTGACATTAGGGCCTCGGCCTTTGGCGACCTCCGTGATATTGAGCCCCTCGGCAGGACTCCACACTCCCACCTGGATGGACAGACAGACACAGTATAGAGGCTGAGTCCACAGTGTCTCCATCCTTTCTTCACATCAGCAAGCAACTCATCTTGTTCCCACCTTTCAGAAGCGTCGTCATCGCTGACAAGTTTTGAGCCAACTTTTCTGACAACCCTGCTGCCTTCCTCCTTCCCAGAGGAAGCCCCTAAGATGCTGAGTCTCCTGAATTCTCCTCCCTCCCCATTTGCTGGCAAACCCATCCCAGAAGGAAGGGAAATGCAGAGGGAAAAGAAGAAGATAAGGATAGCCCAGGGAGCACAGTGGAAGCCAGCCTGGGGTGGAGCAGATGCCATGAAGTCAAGTTAGTGTTAGGGTCAGGTCCTGCCCTGGGTCAGAGTCATCCCAAGCCTGGGTGTGGGCAGAGGGGCGGCGGCTCCCGCCTGCTAGGGAAGAGCTGGGCACCAGCTGCTCATTCACTGGGTCTCAGCCTGTGCCAGCTCTGGGGCCAGATGCCCTCCAGAGCCCAGGACAGGGCCTGGAGCAAGGGAGATGTTCCCTAGGCATGTGCGGAAGGACAAGGAGATGTGTCTTGTGCAGGAATTCAGTATGGGCAGGATGCTGGTCTTTGCGGCTATTTCAGGGGGTGGCAGACAGAGGGAAAACCCTCACAGGGGGCAGTGGATGCCACTGGATTTGAAGGCAGTTTGTTTTGTAGTTTTACACCTAAAGTTGGCAGATGCTCGGCTGAAGTGGCATAATCTCTAGTCCGCATAGTGCCTTTGTGGATGTCAGGCCTGGGGCTGGAAGGAGGCAAGGGAAGATCAAGTTTACAAATGGGTCTCAAGCCCTGGGTCTCTTGAAGATCCTTTGGGACCCAACTCTGCCCTTCTCTGTGCCCATCTCAGCACCTCTCAAGGGAGGTTCTGGCCTGACCATCCTGTCCTTGGCCCAGTTGGTTGGGGCTGGGGGGGATGGCACTCAGGAAACTTAATCAATTAAACAGGGAGGCCGAATGCAAACATCCCATTAAGAGAGCTGTGCAAAGGAGATAGCAGAGAGACATGTAATTATGCTTGGGTAATTCTGCCTTAATCCCCCCAAAGCCACTGGCTGGAGCTGGCTGGATCAGCTATGACCCGGCTTAGTAAACAGAAGTGATAAGAGAGAAGTGATGAGAGGCAGAATGGCTGTGTTTGGGGGCTCAGCACCCTCTCCGGGAAGCATCTCTCTCTATGCAGACCCCACCCTCCAGAGCCCAGAGGAGAGAAAACAAGCAGACAGCGTCAATGAGGCTCTTCTCTCAAGGGGGCCAAGCGCAGAGCCCAGCCCCAGCATGAGGGACCCTGGTGGCAGGCCTGGGTGCAGAAAGCTCTCAACAAACAGCTGGGGGGCAGCCAGGTGACCAGCAGGAACCCTTGCTCCAGCAAGCAGCTACTGAACTCCTACCCCACGTCCCATGGGGATGGGAGAACAGCTAAGACTGAGGAGGACCCAGCTTTCAGAGACTCTCTGCCCAAGATCTGGGAGGCTGTGACCAGGAGCCTCTGGTGGGACCTCTGCAGGTCAGCCGGTGTCTAGGCATAGTCGAGAGGTTTTCCTGAGTATTAGCTGTGGTCTGTCTGCAGTTGCTGGAGGGCTGGTAGGAGCTGCAGGTAGGCTGAGATGGCAAACGTGCTCCGATGGGCAATTACTGATGCCGACCATCGATATGAGAGTGGGAGGGGGTGGCACACATGCCATCTAATTGCCATCCTTAGGATTTTAGGCTATCCCCAGAGATGGACAGTTGAGAGAGCAAAAATGAGACAGCTACTGGAGTGACAACTATTATAGTGGTCCTGCCAGCGGGGGAAGCGGGCTCCCCAGCACTGCAGGAGTTTAAATAGGAGCTGGCAGAGGGCTTGATAAGCTATAGTTTGAGTAGAGTTAGACCAACAGGGCTGGATCATCTTAGGAGCAGAGGGTATAGCACCTTGTCCTTAGGGGACTGGTGCTGTAAGTGGCTGAAAGAGTTGCAGGGGAGTGGTGAGGTTGCCCCGGCCACCTGGCCGCAGCACAGTGGCCCCATGAGTCCATGGGAAATTCAGGACTAAATGGCATCACCTTGGCCACAAAGTACAACCCAGGTTTGTGCCAGTGGGAACAAACCAAGGAAACATAGGCCATTCCTACAACCGGAGAGGTGGCATGGGCCAAGGCCTAGAGGTGCAGGAGGAAGGGCGTGTGGCTGGACCTTGAGGAATGTTTGGAGGGCAGTGGAGACTAGTCCTGGAGAGGAAATCGGGGCACTTCCTGGAGACTCTTCAAGGCCGGGGTGAGAGGCAGATGCTGAATGCCTCGGCACTGGGGAGCCATGCACAGTCCCAGGGCAGAGCAGAGCTATGCATTGGGTAGCTTCATCTGTGTGTGCACTCGGGACGGATGGAGGGTCCAGGAGTGGAAGTGGGAAGCCAGGCTGGGGTGCTAAAAAAAATCCACAGAAGAGACCTGGGCAGGGAGGGCAGGGGAAGAGAGGAGAGGAATCAAGGGTCCCTGAAGGATCAGAGGCCCCAGGGGTGGCCCCTCCACTTCTGCCTTTTATACACCCCCTCTCCCAGGGTTGGAGAGGTGCCCTGGTGGCTCCCAGGGACCAGTGGGTGTGGCTGAGCCCTTGGTCCTGAGGTCTGAGGAAATGCTGAGAATCAGGGCTGATGTTAAATCCCCTTCTAAGCCCAGCAGCCTGACTTTGTTACAATATTGCTTATGGTTCCCAGGGGTCAGAACTGGCCCCATTACGATCATTTCTATGGTAGCTGGATGGGAGGCCAGCCCTGTGGGCCTGCTTTCCTTGTAATTCCCAGAATCACAGAGGCCTTAGAAACTTAGCATGGGGAGTTCAGAATCCATGTGCTTCAACCTCTCTCCAAGGGTAAGAATCACCTCCAATCTCCCAGACAAGCAATCCCTTTGTTCAGTTTTGCTGAAATGCCTCCAGGGACAGTGAGCTCACTACTCCCTAGGCAGGCACCCGTGGGTCATTAGAGAGTTTCTCCTACCCAAGGCCACGTCTGTCCCTCTGCCCCATGACAGAGGACCTAGAGACGGTCCGTCTGTCCCATGAGCCTTTCCCAGGTTAAGCCTCTCTCCGATGGCCCTTGCTGACAGGGTGATCATTTGAGTATCTGCACCCCTCCAGGTTGAGAAGGCCAGGAGGGGCCAAGGCAGTGGCCACATCGGGTCATGTTGAGCCCAGAGCGGGCAGCTGGATGTGGTTTTGCCCCCTTGCTCAGGGTCTCTGCCTGGGATCTATCATGGGGGATTTAAAAGCCCCTGTTCCTTGGCCCACCCTCTCACTCCTGAGCTCACACACCTTCTCAAGGCCATCTTCCTTCAAGCTGATGATGTCCAGATCGAAATCCGTCCGTAAGCCACTGGTTTTGTTGAAAACAATCCGTCCAGTTAATCCTTCCCATTGAGCCTGCCGGAGGGGAGAGGGCAGAGCGGCAATTCCTCGGGCTCATAAATCATCATTCGGTACAACTGTACAATGCTTCATTTTAATTACTCCTTGCACTGATACTGTTCCCCCAAGACCATGATTAATTAATAATCACCTCCATCATTGCTAGGGCTGTGGTGCGAGCCAGCGATTTCCATAAATTCTATTATGCTCTTTAGCCAGCGCTACACTTGCACCTTCTCGTGTACAACATCGATCTCAGATGCGCTCAGATGAGCCCCCGCCTCGAAGCCACGAGAAGGCGGGGAGTCCGGTCCATATCAGGTCCCCAGGGAGGGGCAAGGAGGCAAGTGGGTAGACTGTGGCAGGTGAGACCTGCCGAGGGGCAGAAAGTCAAGGGGCCAAGCCAGCTCTGGCTATAGGACCAGACACTCAGAGTAATCCCCAGAGAGCCAGGGGTGACAGAGCAGGTCTTTCACCCCAGCTCCACCCATGTCCTGGTTAGAAACTGGGGTCAGAATACAGGGTCCAACTTCAGTTAGCTGTGTGACCTGGGGATTTCATTCTGCTGTGCTGCCTCAGTTTCCTCATCTGTAAAACGGAACTAATAACAGTACCCATTTTACCAAAACACTATGAGGTCAGAATGAAGTAGGTCTCATGAAAAACTGCGAATGGTGCCTGGTACAACCTGTTGTTTTTATTGTTTAATAGCTAAGTCATGTCCAACTTTCCACAACCCCATGAACTGCAGCATGCCAGACTTCCTTGTCCCTCACTGTCTTCCAGAGTTGGTTCAGATTCATGTCCATAGGTACAACCTGAGCCCTGAATAAATGGTAGCTTTCGCTACTTTTTCTTGCTTTTAGCATCATGAACAGAGAGAGGCAGGCAGAGGTTCAGAGAAGGTACAGGTCTAAACTGAGATGGGCTCCATCTTCTAAAGCCAGGATTGGCAAACTATGGCCGGGGATACACCTGGATCCGTTTCCTGTTAAAGTCACACCTATGTATTTACCTATTGTCTCTGGCTGCTTTTGTGCGGTAGCTTCAGAGTTGAGTAGTTGCAGTACAGACTGTCCAGTCTGTTGTTTTTTAGTTTCTAAGTTGTGTCTGAGTCTTTGTGACACCCATTAGATGGTATGCACGCCACCACCATGGACTCTAGCCCGCCAGGTGCCCCTGTCTATGGAATTCTCCAGGCAAGAATACTGGAGTAGGTTGCCATTTCCTACTGCAGAGTATCTTCCTGACCCAGGGATCGAACCTGCGTCTCCTGTATTGGTAGGCAGATTCTTTATCACTGAGCCACCTGGGAAGCCCTGGTCTGCAAAGCCCCAAATATTTCCTATCTGGCCCTTTGTACAGAAAGTTTGCCATCTCGCCTTCTAGCCAGTACCTCTCTGGTGGGCCTAGAGCATTAGCTGTAAGGACCTTCCTACCACTCACCCCATGTAGCCTCTGTAGCAGCCCTGGGAGATGGGCTCAGTAGGTGTCTCACCCCACTGGGGTCATGATCCCTGCAGATTCTGAAGAAGGCTCTATAGCCTCTCCATGGCTGAGGTTTCCCCAGCACCCAAGCTTACACAATATAACACACAAGTTCATGGGTTCCTGGATCCCTGAAGGCCCATCTGTAGACTGAAGCTAAAACCCATGGGAATCTCCGAGCACTTGGGCAGCCACCTGGCATTGTAAAGTCTTGTGTATAAGGACGTAGATGGCGTGTGTTATGCTAGCTCAGGCAGAGGGGTGCACCTCGAAGGGCTCCAGGGGGCTGGAAATCAAAAGTGGGTGGAACATGGACTTTGCATAAGGCATCCAACCTCTCTGAGCTTCAGGAAGAGGGCAATGACCTATTTCACAGGTGGTGACAAAGGTGTATAAAGGGCTTACTTAGCACAGTGCCTGGAACACGAAACACCAGCTCTGATTTCTCCTTTGTCCCTTCCTCCTGTGGGGCTCCTTTGGATTAGAGCTGGCCCTTGGCTGGGGGCAGGGGGGAGGATGATCACGTGGGCCACCGCCCAGGCCTCCCTAGAAACCCTATCACAGAAGGCTTGTCCGTGATTAACTTCCTTGCATGAGCTCATCTGGTTTGCATCACAGTCTGATCAGGTGGGTGTCATGCTTGCCTCTATTTCACAGTCATGGCCACTGGGGCTCAAAGAGAGATTGAGCTCTGCAGGTCCCAAGTAGTGGTGGTGCCAGGCAGATCCCCTCTGTGCTGAGCAGAGCTGAAGGGTGGGGGTCACGGTGTCCACGTTGAGTGGGGAGAGTTTATGAAGCCCAGGAAACTGCAGACTGGACTTGGGGATGGAGATTTAAAGATGCCTCTGATTTAGAGAACAGATTGGTGGTTAACAGAGAGGCACCGGGTTGGGGGTGGGCATAAAGTGTGGGGGGTCAACTGTATGGTGATAGATGGTAACCAGACCTTCAGCGGGGACTACTTTGTAACGTACACAGATGTGGAGCTATGTCGTACACCTGAAACTTACATATTATACACTGTTTTGTTCTTGTTTAGTCGCTCAGGTGTTTCCGACTCTGCGACCCCATGAACTATAGCCCACCAGGCTCCTCTGTCCATGGGATTTTCCAGGCAAGGGGTGGGTTGCCATTTCCTTCCCCAGGGGATCTTCCCGACCTAGGGATCGAACCTGCGTCTCCTACATTGGTGGGCGGATTCTTTACCTCTGAGCTACCAGGGAAGCCCATACACTATTTTACTTCAATCAAAAATGCATCAGAGAAGGTGAAGGCCACTGCGTATGACCTCACAGGGAAGCTCCGCTCCCTTGAGGCTCCCCAGTCTCTCCATCTGCCCCCTCCTCGCCTGGGCCCCGCCCCCACAGGCTACCTCCCCAGGCCCTTGGGGAAATCATAGCTGGTGTCTTCAAACCTGCGCTGGAGGGAAGCCTTCCTCCCTGTCAGCTCCAGAGGACTTAAATGTCAGCAGGTGTGTGGCCTGTCGGTGGGCGGGCAGGCAGGGGCAGGGCCAGGCCAGGGGGCCGCTGGAGCTCCGCCCCGTGACATTTCCCAGCCCTCCCGCCCCTTTCAGCTGCCTCGCAGGACTCGCTAAATGAAAGATGCTTCACAAGCTCTGAACTCCGGCCTGGTATTTTCCAGCTCCTCTCGGAAATGCCAAGTCTTTAAAATGATTTACTGTCACGCAGTCAGATGGGGAGACTGGAGACTTGGAAATGGTCTGAGGGAAGGCCGGGTGCTGGGCTCAGTCAGGGGGCCTGGGTCTTGAGGGCGGACAGCTGTGGGGCCGTCCAGGAGCCCCATAGCAGCTCTGGGCCTCGGTCTCCGCTTCCCCCACAAGGAGTTAAGACAAAGATGTTTCTGAAACTACTGTGTCAAGGAGAGTGTGTGGTGAGGGCTGTTCACTGGGCTGGGGCCAGGCAACAGGAGGGCTGGATACTCCAACAGGGCGCGTCAGTCCGGGGGTGGGAGGCGCCTTTCTGCTCTGCAAGCCATCTGCTCCCTTTGGGGCTTCAGGACTGAGCCTCGAGCACTCCAGGGGGTTCTCTGAAGCTCTGTGGCCTGAGATCCTCTGTAGCTGGAAACCCACCAGGGAGCAAGAAGCCCCTGTAAAGATAGTCGTGATGATAGAAACAGTAATAGCTAATCAGCTCAGCATCTGCTCTGTGCCAGGCACCGTCCTAAGCACTTCACACTTCATGACCCACACCTACGACCACACTGCTGTTATCTCCATTGTGCCGGAGGACCGGCGGCACAGAGAGGTTCAGTAGCTTGTCTAAGGTCACACCGCTAAAAAGCTTCAAAGTCACTTACGTCTGGCTCCTAAGGGTCTCAGAGTTGTGGCCCCGGTCACTGAGAAACCCACGCCAGTCTGTGGCCACTGGGTTGGAGGCCTGCAGTGGAAGGAGGCTCAGGTGGCGGGGTGTGAAGCCTCCACGCTCCCCGAGAACAAGCTGATGACTGTGCAGGCCAGCCAGGCCTGGCTCAGGGCATTGGACAATCAGACTTCCTCTACAGTTGTGAGGGGCTGGATGAGAAGGAACCTCATGGTCCTCTTCTACTTAAACAACGGACACCAGAGTCTCTACTAGGGGTGAGGGAACCGGTGCCAAGGACTTAACTGCCCCCTCACGGGGACTACGACATGGTTTGCCAGGCGAGGAAACTGACACTTGGGAATGTCCAGGAGTTTGTATAAAACCACACGGCTGGGAAGAGGCAGAGACAAGCCCAAAGGCATGTGTATCAGACTCTAAAGCCATGTGCCTTTTAGTGTCATTCTAAAATACAGGAGGTGTCACTGCCCTTGTCCCAAGCAGTAATAGTGAACTGGGACCTCTAGGGAAGCAGTCCTGTCTGCTGAGTGGTGGGTTTCTTTGTTATTTACCCTGATTGTGCTGCCTTCCTTTGCATATGGGATTACATTCACTAATGGATTGCCTTGATTGACGTCTCCCTGGGAGGTGAGGTCTGTGAAGTTGCCAGGCTGTTTTAACCCCACAGGATCCCCAGCACAGGCTCAGTGCTGGCCACTCAGCAGACCTACACACATAGCTATTTTTGAATAAATGAATTGAATGAACTCTCAAAGCAGTCTGCCTCATTCCTGGTTCATTGTGATGGCTACAAAGACATGGTCTATGCAAAGCCCTCCTAGGGGGCTTCTCCTAACTGCACTTGACATTGCCCTGGACAGGTCACTCCTTCTGACCCAGGGATCTCACCCCTACATGCCTAGATCTCACCTCTACGTGCCTTCCTCATCTACCATTACTGGGACTTGACTCTGCCCAGTCTTGGGCTCTGTGCTTTGCTTACAGTTTTTCACACTGTTTTTTCAACAATGCTTTGAGGCAGGAACTCTTACTATACCTATTTTACAGTTGAGGAGACTGAGGATTCAAGAGTTAATCATCTCCCCCATAGTCACGCAGCTTGTTGTCATGGAGCCAGGGTACAAACCCAGGCCTGGGTGTCCCCACCTGTAAAATGGGATCAATAAACTCTGCATTCGTAAGGATGACTGTGATGGAGAGTCTGAAAGGAAACTTGGGCACTGTGAGTCTCCATGGTCATTCTCTCGTCGGCAGGACATGTTCTCTGGTTTTTTGAACTGGATGGGACTTCTTTACAGTTGCCATGGTGCCAGGAGAGCCAGGTCCCACTAGGGACTGCAGGCTGATGGGCCCATGATGTGAAGAGGAGTTTGTGGGGCTGATTACTAGTTACCGAGCTGCCTCTGCCCTCAGCACTAAGCCTGTCCACATGATGCCTCATTTTGTCCTCACAGCATCCACACGAGATGGGCATGCTTCATACCCGCTTTACAGATGGGGCAACTGAGGCTCAGCAAGGTACTCTAGCTTGCCTGAGGTCACAGAGCTGGAGGCAAAGACGCTCAGCTGTTCAAAGCCCAGGCTGTGTCCTGCTGACAATGCTGACCACCTACTGAGCACCTACTATGTGCCAAGGACGAAGCCTCTCTGTCACTTTAAGACTGGTCCCTGCTGAGCCCATGTGCACCTAAGGAAACAAGCTCTGGCCCAAGTTCACATGGACTGGACTCCCAAACTTGGGCCCTTGACTGCTCCGTGGCCCCCAGGAGATGGCCCTGGTGGGGGTGCGGGGGCCACTCACCTCCTTGATGAAGTTCATGAAGCGGCCACCGAAGCGCCAGGCCTTGTGCCGGTGGCACTGCAGGGAGTTCACGGTCATCTGGGGTGCCCGCTGGTAGCATACAGACACGATGTGGACGGCATCATACAGCAAGGCCGCGTCCGTCTGGAGGGGAGGCCCGGGGCTGCCTGAGAGTGGCTCGGGCCCTGAGAGTCCTCAGCCCACCCTTCCCTGTCTCCCTTTATCTCCCCCGCCAAAGGCCCGGTGTCCTGGAGAGGGAAAGGCCCTGGAGGTGACCCTGTCCTGGTCCTGATGAGAGGCCGGGCTCGGGGTGTCTCTGCAGCTCTGCAGACTCCTGACTCCCTCCCTCTGAAGCTCAGATCTTCTCTGCCAGGCCCTCCACCCCCGGCGTCTCTCTGTTGCTTGGCCCTGCCCACACCTTCACCTTTCCAGCCTCCCCAGCTTCCTTCCCACCACAGCTGAAAGTCCTCCCCGTCCAGGACATCATGCCCACTCTCTGTAACCATCTGTTTATGTGCCTGCACTCCCACACTTGGGTGGGGGGAGTGGGGGCTGCGCCTGATTCCTTTGTGTGTCCCTGGCCCCTGGCCTAAGGTCTAGCAGACACAGGGTAGGTCTTAAATTGGGAAGTGGTGGGAGGGAAAGAAAGAAACAGAGAGGAGGGAGAGAAGAAGGGAAGGAAGGAAGGGAGGGAGGGGAGCCCCAGGTCTGGCGCATCCAGCGGCAGTACCATCATCACTCCGTCCAACAGGCCGGACTCTGCTCGGGGAGCCGCCTGCAGCCGCTCCATGGACCACTTCTCCACGATGGCCGAGACGTGAGGGTTGTCCACATTGAGGATCCGGAATCCTGTCAGGTTCACGCCCGAGTAGCGGTAGGGCTCCAGGTCTAACGTGTAAAGATCCTTGACAGAGAGAGTTTCCATAAACAAAGATGTGACCCGGCTGTGAGCTCCAGCCCTCCCTCCCACACTCCCTACTGGGACCCCAGAACGACAGTAGCTCCCTGCAGAGTTCTGGGGAGGGAGGCTCCCGGTGGGGGGGCGGGTGATGGAGCGCTCACGGGAGCATTGCACTTGGAGTTGGCCAGACTTGGCTGCCTGGTGGCTGACCCCACGGACTCACTGCCAGACCTCAGACACACCGCTCAGCCTGTTCCTTCATCTACAAAACGGGGATTGTGCCCGCTTTATAGGCCCCAGTGAAGCAGTTCATATGAAATGTCCTGCCTGGAACAGCGAAGAAGCTCGATAATGGTCATGACCGTCACCTCCTCTGATGGGGGAGGCCTCCTTTGGGAAGACAAAGGGCATCTCCTAGCTACGCAGAGGGAGGCTGAGGGAGGATTTTACCCCCCCAAAGAGGGTATTTTAAAATAGTCTCTTCTGAAAACAAATTTATGATTACCAAAGGGGAAGCGGGGGAGGGATAGATTAGGAGTTTGGGATTAACAGATACACGCTACAATGTATAAAACAGATAAGCAACAAGGATCTACTGCATAGCACAGGGAACTGTATTCATTGTCTTGTAATAGTTTATGATGGAAAAGAATCTGAAAAAGGATAGATATATAGGTATATATGCATAACTGAGGGGGCTTCCCTGGTGGCTCAGATGGTAAAGAATCTGCCTGTAACACAGGAGGCCAGGGTTTGATCCCTGGATCGGGAAGATCCCCTGGAGAAGGGAATGGCAACCCACTCCAGTATTCTTGCCTGGAGAATTCTATGGATAGAGGAGCCTGACAGATCCATGGGGTCGCAGGGTCGGATACGACTGAGTGATTAACACACACACACACACACACATATACACATGCATAACTGAATCATCTGTTGTACACCTGAAACTTGTACAATGTTGTAAATTAACCATACTTCAATAAAAAGAATTAAAATAGACTCTTGTGCCTGGGACTGAAGGGGTACAGTGCTCTTTTCCCTCTCCTCGACCCCACATCACCAGCCAGGCCCCCTGACACCCTGCATCCTAGGAGCAGTCAGCCTGTTGGCCAGGTTACATCCAGTTTGGTGCAGGGGTCTAAAAGCCGGGAAGACAGGTCTTAATGCATGGGGCAACCTAGCTTCAGCTCTGGGACATCATGAGCTGGTGTGGGCAGGGGGTGGGGGAAGAAGGGGGTTGGCTACAGAGGGAGGAGCCAGATGCGAGGCTGAGAAGGGATGGCAGGAGGTGGCGTGGGGAGCTCAGCTCAGTCCTCCGAGATGACCTCGAGGGGTGATGGGGGTAGTGAGAGGTAGGTCCAGGAGAGAGGGGATTTACATATACATATAGCTAATTCATGTTGTTGTACAACAGAAACTAACACAATATTGTAAAGCAATTATCCTCCAATTTTAAAAAAAGAAAAGAAAGAAAAACTTCCCAAACTTGGAGATAAGGCAGACGGAGACCAGCATGTCCTTCCAACGTCATGTGGACACATCGCTCACCAGGCCCTCCGGGGACTGTGCAGTTCTCTGGGAGAATTCACCTGGGTTTGACTGCACTGCCAGCCACTGGTTAAAGGCCCAGATTCTGAGTTAATGTGTAGACTTTTTCCCTTAGAAAAGATAATCCCCAAGCTGGTGGTTTTATTGCCCTGTAGGACATTAATCCATTTTGTGCCTAACTTAGCTGACTTATATGATGTTACCCCTACACCGGATACCTATAAATACTCAATCCTTCAAATGCTCTTTGAGCTAGCATTGTCATCCTACTGGTTCCTTTGTTCATGAGTTGAATACATCTTTGACTCCTTTTCATTCTATATTTGCATAAGAGTCATGTTACTTTTTGAAACATATACGCTGATAATCTAGATGGGCCTAATTCCACTAGTAGGGAAAATGAGTTTTAAGGTCTTAGTTCGAGGTCCTTCTCGTCTATTGTCTGCTCTTTCCACACTCTCCTCCCATCCAGCTGCCTTCCACTGTTCCCCTCCCTTCTCCGCCCCTACCCCCCACCCCCGCAACCTGGCCCATCATCTTTCCCAGGTCCCTCATCTCAGTCCATCCATCCAACGCTGGGTCAGAATGGCCAGGGATAGTGTGCTGTTCTCTCCGTGGATGCAGTCATCAGGAGAAACATCTGGCTCCATCACAGTCCCAGCTTCAGTTAAATCAATGATGGTTCATGGAAAGATAATGCGGGATAAAACCTGGAGCCCACAGAGCAGCTCTTTGACTCTGTGCTGGCTTCCTCTGGTCTCTGAGATGTTCCTAATTCATGCAGAACTCTTCCTGTAACTCCAATTGGCCTCCTTCTGAAATACACAGTATTGGTTTCCTCTTTAAGAGTTTAGGGATTAGGGGAGAGGCTGGGGGAAGTTTTGAGCCCAGGAAAGAACGTTTAGTCCCAGCCTTGCTCAAATGGGACCCTGATTCAAGACCAGGATTGGGGGTGGGGGAGGGGCTGGGTGGAAGTAGATGGGGGAGTCCCCGTAGAATTGGACAGAGGGTGTCTGTGTGGCCCCAGTCTCAGTGGGGAGTGAGTGGAGGGTGGGCACTGTGCTCAGCCCTTCAAGTGGAGTTTGTCATCTGATTGTCATGATCCCCTGTAAAGTAGGTATTCAGTAGTATTCCCTTTTTGCAGGGGAAAGAAGGACCAGAGGAGTGAAGTGGCTTGCCTAAGGTGTCAGAGCTCATGGAAGCAGTGCAGAAATTGTTCCCAGGTCCAGCTCAGTGGGGTGTTGGAGCTGGCTCCCATTGGCTTGTAAGAGCTAATCATCAGCATTTCTATGTTCAGTGACATTCGTTGGTGGCTTGACATTGGCCATGGTGGGAGAATTCATACCATGAAAATTGGCAAGCACTACAAATCTGGGTTTTCCCTGCTTTTGGACAGCTGGTTGTATACATTTACTAGTACACAGTGTCTGTTCTATTTAAAAATTCCCATGTTTATGTCCCCAGTGGTTGCCAAACACAAGATATGCATCACTATTGCTTTTGGAGAACTTGTTTTGGAAAGTATGGGCCATTGAGAATGTGGGGTGGGGCTGCAATCTGTGTTTTGAGAAGCTGCTCATCTAAGCTATTACTCCTGACCAGGAAACACACAGGGATGGCTTTGGGCTTAGATGGGGAGACCTGTGGAGTCAGAAAGGGAGAGCAAGGCAGGGGACACACAGGAAAGAGGCCTCTCTTCCCACAGCGGCTCCCTGAGAACGGGTCACTGGGCAGCCCCAGGTGATGGTTATGAGCACAGATTGTGAGGCCAGGCCATCTACTCTCCTTACTTCACCTGCCTCATCTGCAAAATGGGTGTGAAAATAGCACCTGCCATACAGGGTCATCCTGAAGAAGAAATGGGTGAATAGACACGCTTAGAACATGTCTGGTGCATGGGAGACATCACAGAAGTGCTGATAAATATTCATATTCTGCCTTCTCTGGAAGCAGGTTGTGACAGCTATTGGACTTGCCCCCCAGAACACGACTGGGTTTGTAGAGGAGATGAGCAGACCTGAGTTGCATCCTTCCTGCCTTACCCTCTTGGCAATATAAAAACAATCACGTTGAACTAACATTTACTGAGCACCTACAAACCTCAGAACAGTATCTAAGTGCCTTATGTATACTAACTCACTAAATGTACATTTCTGCCTTATAAGAAAGGTGTTAATATCACTCCATTTTAGAGGAAGGCACTCAGTTGCAGCGAGGTTAGGTCTTTTGCTCACGGTTGTACACTTGGGAGCAACAGTGTCAAAACCAGCTTGCCAGCTCCCAAGCCCTCCCTCTGTCCCAAGACCACCCCTCAGTTCCCACCACCCAGTGGATATTCCAGTCACCCTCTACATGGCATTCAGAGGGGTCTTTCTGAGGAATAAACCCAGCCCTGCCACTCCCCTACTTGGTATATTTCAATGGCTCCTTCTTGCCTTCTCAGAATAAAGCACAAATTCCTTAGTGTAGTTTGCGAGGCTCTCTACCCCTCCAGCCTCACTTTTCTTCCCACCCGGTCTCAGTTTTTTGCCCCAGGAGCACCAAACCATTTCTGGCTCCCTTCCCCATTCCCCGTGGCCCCTTTTCCCATCACACGGCTTCTCTGTGCCCGTGTTTCTGTGTGCTCTGTCTAACTCTGGGCTGGAACATCTGTCTTCTCAACCCTTCTTCAGTGGGTCCACTCTGAGATTCAGCTCAAGTGTCACCTCTTCTGGGAGGTCTCCCCTGACTACTACTCTAGATACATGATCGGGTGGGTCAAAGGTGCTTCTGCTCTTATCTTGGGACATTTTGGCTTTCATCCCACACATGATAACTCTCTATGTCTACAACGGTCTCCCCTAGAAGCTCCCATACCAAATACTCCCATCAGTCACAGTGGATAGAAGGATCAGCGAGCTGGGTAGCTCTCTGGGAAGAGCCTGGAAATGAGAGAGTAGAATTTCATAATCTTCTCTCAGAGGGAGCTTTCTATGGGGTTAGAAGTTAGGAGTGATTTGGTAAATCACCTGGGGTGGAGGATGAGCCCCCCAGGCGACGGCTTTAGAAACAACAGGTCTTCCCTAAACTGCCTTTGAAGAAGGTGGGTCTGGGGAGATGGAGGGAATTTTGCTTTGTAGAGTGGTAAATGCAAGTTTGGGGCCAGAGCTGAATTGCCTGGGACACAGAAGAAAAGCTGAGATCTGTCCCCAGGGGCATGCTTCTCCCTCTTCCCCTGTAATGAGGCTCAGCCTCTTCTCCAATTCAGTGCTGACACCTAAAGCAGGAAAGATGCCCATCAAGAGTCTACCTAGGGCCTCCCTGCCTTGGCTCACTTCCCTGAGGACCAGAGGCCCTCTGGACTTAGTGGGGAGGGCAGCATCTCCGGCTTTGGTGGGCCTCGGGTGCTGGTGACATCAGCCCTTCCAGTTTTCAGATGCAGCGCTGGGTTGGCTGACACTCGCACAGTGGTG